GCGTAATATTATGTGGCATTACATAATTAGGTACATGACAAACAGGAAGTTTTGCACGTGCGCTATACACACTCCATGATGGAATAATGAACCATAAAATCAGAATTAGTAAAAAAAAAAAAAAATTACATATTAAGTTAAATAAATGAATTTAAGGAAAAATAGAGGGATTTAATCATGTTAAATAAATACACATGCATGTTTTGAAAACTATAGAAAAGATCGCCGATTTACATGTACATCTGAATGCTGCATTTTTGACCTGAGAATGTATTTAATCCATTAATAAAATCAATATAGATCAATAAAAAAATTAATAATAACTACTTTACGTACATATATTGAAGAACAAATATAATTAAAAAAAATTAAAATCACTCCAATTTTTTTTTCGACTAGGTCGTAAACAGTGGTATATATGTCCTTGTTTTTTTTTTTTAATCTATATCTAAAACTATTGTAGGTTTATTTCAGCAAAATTTATACCAAGCTAATTAAATTTTATTGCATGCTAATATAGCTAAAATAAGTAAATGAATCATTTTATTTATTCTTTATTCACTAAAAACCAGATCACTGGTACAAGAGGAACATATACACATATATACAAACAAAAATTACAGTCACGGGTCAAAAATAGACAAGTATATAAAGAAAAAAGAAAAGAAAGTAAACATATAATCAGTTATATATATGGAGGATTCAAGAAGGACAGACAGTTTTGAAGATTTTCTTAATAAATTTTGACAATGATTTTTGTATTTCTACATTATTTGTGTTCATTAGTTCATTAAATTTGAAAGTGTTAGGATTTTTACAATATCTATTTTGGAGAAATATTTTTCTGTCATTCGAAAAGAACTTGCATTCCATAACATTATGAAATTCATCACCAATAGTTTTACAATCACAAATGGTACATATTCTTAAATTTCTATCAATATTATTCCATCTACCTGTTTCAATTGGCAAATGATGATTAAACGTTCGTAGTTTTGCAAGTGTAACTCTTAAATCTTTTGGTAAATTCAGCAGATAATTTTTGAAACCAAAGTTTGTTTTAAAAATTCTATAATTAATACACTTGGGTGAACTATCAACAATGCTTCTCCATTCTTGTTCAAATTGATTTTTTAGGGTATCTTTAATAATTGACTTAAGCCAGTTAAAACTATGAAATGTATGCCTATTCTTCTTCAGATTAGTATTATAGAGATTGTTGTAATGGTTACACAATCTGTATCGTGAATCAATTTACATATATCTTCATAAATGGTTTCCCAAACTTTCCTTGATTATGATTCGGTTCTTTTTGGGGGGTGGGGGGTGAAGACAGAAATGAGAATCGGAAACGTGAAAAGAAATTCAACATGTATTTACCATGTCACATCACGATCTCATAACTAGATGTTTAGACTAATTTGATTCAACCAAACTTTAACAGTTCAATTGCTACCAGCATGAAACATGAATAATTTATTGCACAAGTTGTGTCTAACAAATTAATGTACACACCATATGAGAGACAATTTTATTTTATTACTAAATGTGATTTCCAAATTCTCAAAAAATTCATTAAGTACTTGATCCATCTGCATGAAGTCGATAAACATGCAATCTTCTTGTCCAAATTAATACATATTGCATGTATGATATAACTGTAAATTGTCTCGATTTATTTTTTATGACAATAATATTTTATACACTGTTTGTATAATGAGGAATGGATCTTTCAAGTTGAAATAACTTGCATCCTATCCTTTTCGAAATTTATTTCATTAATACAAAAATAAATAAATAGATAAAAACAAACAAACAAAGAACAAAATCCCCAGTTTCCAAACATCGTTTGTGATATAAATTTATCAATTATATATAATCAATAATAATCCATTGATATTCACAATAATTTATAATTGATAATTATATTTTTTAATCATTATTCTTTTATTCTTGAAAAAATATTGTATTTCGAAGAGAAGATAATTAATGAGCATTTAGAAATGATTGTTTAATGATTTATTCTATATAATTTCAAATATTTTAAAGTGTTTTTTTCTCATAGATAATAATAATTGTATAATGAATGAAACATTTATAACATATCTGTACTTTATAAGACAAAAAAAAAAAAAAAAAGAAAAGAAGAAAAAAAAACAATCGGGCGTGGAATACGCTATACTATGAAGCCCATCAATGGCGGCTGACTTCCTCCAATATTTACAATAAAATTGGCTCTAAAACCTTAGGGATAAGGATTGACCTAAAAAAGTTTATGTTTGTGAGGTATTAGTATCCGTATCAATTGATATCCACAGTCATTGCAGAATTTCATTGGTCATTTCGGCGCATTCTACTTACATTTCGGCAGAAACCCGACATTTCGGCGTTTCGATGCACCGAACTATCACTCATATTTTTTTTTCTTTCAAAAGCTATTAAATCAAATTGTACATATTTCTCACCTCTTTGTGGATGATACTCTGTAGATTTAGAGGATCTTGGCATTTTAAGAGAAAAATAATGTTTATCGTGTATAAAAACAAACGTTAGCAGTCCTGACACTGCACAGTCAATGTCCGCTTATGCTTTGCAATGGAGAGAGGTATATTTACTTATAGAAACAGGCTATGAGACCATGGTCTCATCTAACTCAAAACGAGGCTATTGCTCACCGGAATGGGTTCTCTCATCTATTTTCCCCTAATCATATCCGGTTATAATGTAAGCCTAACGATTATGAAATTATTTTACTTGTATCAAGCCTTAAATTTAGACCTTAAATATAGACTTTAGTTCTGTCTTTAGGGCCATGGAGCAGTGAGGGTTCTGAAGCATTGTAAACAGATTTTAAAATGGAGAAGGCAGGTATGATAAAAATTGACTAAAAAATATATAACCATATTTCCAGGGACCTACTAGTATATAGGTCCCTGATATTAATTATTTCATTATTAAGAAGAAAATGTCCAGTTTACAAATGAGGAAAATATGACAACACACTTTGACACCTATGAACAGACAAACATACAGGGTCTTATGTTTACAACACTGTAGCAAGAGACCATTGACATAAAACAGTCTTAAACATGCATGGTCTCATGTTTACAGACTGTAGCATGAGACCATTGACATAAAACACTCTTAAACGTGGATGGTCTCATGTTTACAAACTGTAGCATGAGACCATTGACATATAACAGTCACAAACACACATGGTCTCATGTTTACAAACTGTAGCATTAGACCATTGACATATAACAGTCACAAACACACATGGTCTCATGTTTACAAAATGTAGCATGAGACCATAGACATAAAATAGTCTTAAACATGGATGGTCTCATGTTTACAAACTGTAGCATGAGACCATAGACATATAACAGTCACAAACACACATGGTCTCAATACTGTAGCATGAGACCATTGACATAAAACAGTCTTAAACATGCATGGTCTCATATTTACAAACTGTAGCATGAGACCATTGACATAAAACAGTCTTAAACATGCATGGTCTCATATTTACAATACTGTAGCATGAGACCATAGACATAAAACAGTCACAAACACACATGGTCTCATGTTTACAATACTGTAGCATGAGACCATTGACATATAACAGTCACAAACACACATGGTCTCAATACTGTAGCATGAGACCATTGACATAAAACAGTCTTAAACATGCATGGTCTCATATTTACAAACTGTAGCATGAGACCATTGACATAAAACAGTCTTAAACATGCATGGTCTCATATTTACAATACCGTAGCATGAGACCATAGACATAAAACACTCTTAAACATGCATGGTCTCATGTTTACAAACTGTAGCATGAGACCATTGACATATAACAGTCACAAACACACATGGTCTCATGTTTACAATACTGTAGCATGAGACCATTGACATATAACAGTCACAAACATGCATGGTCTCATGTATACAAACTGTAGCATGAGACCATTGACATATAACAGTCACAAACACACATGGTCTCAATACTGTAGCATGAGACCATTGACATAAAACAGTCTTAAACATGCATGGTCTCATATTTACAAACTGTAGCATGAGACCATTGACATAAAACAGTCACAAATACACATGGTCTCATGTTTACAATACTGTAGCATGAGACCATAGACATATAACAGTCACAAACACACATGGTCTCAGGTATACAAACTTTAGCATGAGACCATTGACATATAACAGTCACAAACACACATGGTCTCATGTTTTCAAACTTTAGCATGAGACCATAGACATATAACAGTCACAAACACACATGGTCTCATGTTTTCAAACTGTAGCATGAGACTATTGACATATAACAGTCACAAAAAATCATGATATCATTTGAAATGCTAACTTATATAAGTAGTTTTATTATATTTGTTCTGTTTAATTTCAGATGTTTTGCTGGTTTTCAAGTCATGGAGTCCCTTGAGTTACCAAATGTGCCATTCACTATTTTTTAAGGACATAATTTAGATAAGGTAATTAAATAATTGTGAGATTGATATTTGCATTTTGCAAAGTATGTCTATTATATACACTGAATATTGAGAATTTTATTGGCACATACTCTATACTTTCTTCAGCACCTAATTCATTATAAATGAAAATGTTGTAAATTAGAGCATTACTGTCTCAAGACGGACCCTTTGTCTTTCCAGACTTCAGAATTTTACATCAATTGACTGCACTTGAATTGTCATACAGGTATGTACTGAAAATTCAATGTCAGTACCGGTATATACAAGAGCTGTAATTTATGGACAACTTAAAGGTCTTACGCAAGGAAATAGCCAATCAAATTGAACTTAGTTAATTATAGTTCTATATATTTAGAGACAATTTCTTTTTATTTTTTCATTTTCGGCATCGTTTTTAGGCCTACAGTATTAATTTTGGACTCATGTATTAGGTATATCATATCTTTAGCACAATTGTCCCACTGAATTAAAGGGAACTCATTTTTAGGTGTGCATGAAGCAACTTCCTGGATGGTGTGTAAGTCTAGATCTGTTTGTCAACATGTGAAATCTACATGTATTTCGGGGTAGGTATGTTTACATTCAACTTTTTTTCTTAAAAGTCGCATAAGGCTTATTTTTTCTGATCTCAAATTTTTGTTTAAGTATTAATCTTTATTATCTCTTTCATGACTTATCTGCTGAGAGTCTAGTTAATTAATTTATTAATTAAAGCTATATAGTAACATATAGTGAAATTTTTTCCTTCTGTGAGACCTAAAGAGTAACAGGTAACTCTCATTTTGACTGCAATTTCTCTGATTTCAGGAGTAGTCTCCCCTGTTAAAGATCAATAATGGTGGATATACAATGTGGGATGCAGTCTGGTCATCAAGAGAGAGTTTTGACACCCGTATACATGTATTTCTACCAATCACCTCCGTAACCTTTGTTGTGTTCATCAGACAGGTAAGAAAAACAAGAAAATAAATTAGAATAATTTTAATGAGATAAATGATAAAAAATCAAACATATTTACAGGTACAGACTCCCTTGTAAAAGAAAATGTCACATTTTACACGTACAATTTTATACGTCATTTACATATCCACATTTTCCCCATTTACACAGTTGAATAGAATCAGTGCATAATAAAACATAGCAACAATTATTACCATACGGTCTTTCAACTTTCATTTTAATTTTGGATCTGTTGGTGATTTACTGTAAGTGTCTTTAGATTTTTTATCGTACAGCTGATATCTTTTAGATGTAAAGTATTTTCTTTGAGATTTATGTTTTAACAGTTTTTGTTTCATTTTAAAGTAATTTTGCTTATTTTGTTGTTGTTTTAGATGATGGACCACTCTACTTCCTTTTACAACAGTGCCCCTGCAGATTCACGAAGTTCCAATGTTGAGTTTCCATGACCCCTATTCAGTGAGTGCACAACTTTGTATGTTCTACTTTCAAAATTTCTACTTCTTGTAATATATTTTGGATTTGATTTTAAATATGCCCTATTCACAGATCCATATTTTTGTGTACAAGTATGATATTTAATTCTATCAAGATTACTTGGTCCTAAAGTCAAATTTATATAGTCTTTTAACAAACATTTGTCTTCTTCTGTCATGTTTAATTCAAAGTCAGTAGGCAACACTGAAGATTTCCACTTATTGCTTTTCAGTCCACGACAGGAAAAGGAATAAAGTTGACAGGACTTCCCACACTGTCCTTTGTAGCAACTTACGATGGAACTGACAGCAGTAGACATAGTCCGCTTCATCAAAGGTAAGTCTCCAGAGTGGTGTCTCGTACTCTGTCCTGCATCGAAGCTTCAGGTCCAAGCCAAATCTTCTCTGCATGGATTCTCTTATGGCTTTGGTTCTTCCCAGAAACATGTGACTGCTGAATGGAGCCTTAGCAGTCTGTTTTTTTTTGAGAGTCAAAGAAATGATGCAAGTCTTTAAGGTTTTCAATGACATGTCCTTGTTTTTCAGATGCAGCGGCACTTTCTCCATCACTGGTGAAATGGGAAATGACTAGGGGACGATCATCACTTTGTAACTCACCAATACATTTTGCAGTCCATCACTTCTCATCTCCAGTGGTGGTCTCTGGAGGAATGGTTGCAGTGCAGTCTTTGTTCCTTGGCAGGTAACTTCCTTTCCTTTGCTTTGCTTCTTAGGTGTGCACCTTTTTTGCATAGTTTATTCCCACAGAACACTGCCACAACATTTTTCCTCCGAGTTACATTTTCACTTAAGTCGCTTTGGTGGCAGCTTGGAATGGGGTTTTTCCAATGGCACTGAAGGTGGCACTGAAGGTGGCATTATTATACCGGGCATCTCCTTCCGCTCTGATAGGGGTATAAGGAAGTCCACATTTTAGTTCTTGAATGTTCTGCCTTATTTTCTTCAAACTGTTTTTTAATCGAAGGTTAAGGTACCAAAAAAAAAAATATTACTGTTTTAAATCCATGCAAAGCATATTTTCTTTCCCCTTCCCAATCTTTGCTAAATCTTCAGCCACATATTGCTTGTGAATAGAGAGGATGTGTAGGTATCTTAAACCAATTCATTCAATCAAGAGCAATGTCAAAGTGTGTAAATCATTGTCTAGGGCTTATTTTCTCTCCCCTTGGTCCAAACTAACATGTGTTTTATGGTTAGAGTGCTAAATGGTTATGGGTATACAATGACCTTGAACCAATTTTATAGATTCAAGGTCAAGATTATAGCAGATCTCTGTTTAAAATCCTTGTAATGAACATATGTTCTCCCTGTGGCCCATTGTGGCTCATACCTCACACGAAGAGTGTCCAAGGGTAAAGGTGTAAGTCAAGAGTCAAGGTCAAGCTCCAAATACATTCCTCTACACTAAGTCTATTTCATCCCAATGACCCTTACAAAAAATAGCAGGCCCCTTAAGATGGTCACTATCCCAGTGATATCTAGTTAGACTATTTCTGCCTGAGGATGAAGTCTAAACTTACTGAAATTTTTCAATAGTAATTCTTTTAATGTTATTCATGTATATTGAATTACTATACATGTACCTTTTTTGAGTTTGTATGTTTGAAGCTTCCACATGTACACAAATCTTCTTTTTTGAATTTGAAAATGTTTTTTTAATTTATTCATGATTCATATTTTAACATTGACTTTTCTTGTATTTCAGCTTGAAGCCTTGCTTATGATTTTTCCTTGTACCCACAATTGTCTGCCAAAAACAGCCAATGCAATGAACAATCAAATGCAGGGTTGACAAGGATTAAAGATCAACTTTCCTATATGACAGCAAATAGTTTCATGATGCATTGTATATTTTACTTGTGGAACAAGAATTTGTTAATCATCAATTTAAGAAAAGAGCACAATTTTCACACTCCTGTGAGAAGAGAAATATAATTAAGTATTGAATGAGTATATGTTTGAATTTTTTGTCAAGCATGTGATATTTACGAATTGAAATGAGAAACTTTCAATAATAGAATTGTTTACTAGGAGTGTAGATTATTACTGTTATTAGGTCACCCGAATCACTCTTGTCAATGTTGTGTTAACATACTGACATTTTGAGCTGCTTTTTTGAAACCGCTCTGGCAGTTTTAACCAATTTTGGCATAAGGCATCAATGGGTGAAGGGGAACAAAAATTGTGAGTTTTATGGTCCCTACCCTTGGAGCCTGAGGGTGTGGCTAAAACCATCAAAATTAATGCAATCTTTGAAAATCTCCTTTGCTCCTGAACATCACGCATTTAAATTGTTGGCATGATTGTAATAAGAATTGACTCCTCTACCAAAATTGTGAAATTCATGGCTCCTTGGTCAGGGGTTCTGGTGTAAGGTCAGAACTCATTTGATTATATAGAGAATATGCATTAATTCTTTAAAAATCTTCTTCTCTCCCTTTGTATATTTATCAGACAAACTAAGCCATGGTTATGATGAGCAAGAATGCCTCTTTCAAAATTGTTGAATTCAAGGATCCTGGGTCAGGGATTCTGGTGTCAGGGTGGGCTCGCTCTATTGATTATATTGTGAAAATGCATTATTTCTTAGAAAATTTTCTCAGGGTTGTTTTATACTCAGGTGACCGTTAAGACCCATGGGCCCCTTGTTACTCTTTTACATACCATGGTAACTATTTTTATTTTTTTACTATTATTGCTGCAATCATTTGCAAGCATTGTAGGTATATTATTTTCTTCATTAAGTTCTCTGCCATATGCATAATTTATAAGCTTAATTATTTCACATATATTATAATATTACTTATCATACACATATTCTATTTTGTTGTTAGTAAATCATTTGAATGTATCTACTATATTGTGATTGAAAGCACATTTGTGAATTTCCCATATTTTCCTGAGCAATAAATATTGAATTGATTTCAGCATATTTCATTATGTATTCATACATGAATGGATTAGTTTACTCCTTACATTGATGAATTGAATACTGTTAGACATGACCAGTTATTGTTACACTATCATAAAAGAACTCGTTACTTATACATGTATGCACAGTTTATTCTTATTTGACTTTTTGCTTCCTTGTTTTCAAGGTCTGTATGAGTAGTTTGGTTACAATATACATGTACAAATACAGCGCTAGCTCTTACAATCCAGTATTGAATTTTTGAGCTGGTTTTACAATGTAAATCAAATTATATGCAATTTAAAATTGGACAAATTTATTATTTCTTGTTTAAAATGGGAAATATTCTTCTAGTTTCTTCAACACTTGATGTATGAAAGAAAATGTGAATATGTGGAAATTATTTTGAATTGCATTTATATGTTTATTAATGTGTTCTGATTATTACACTTAAGTAAACTGTTATCTTCAGTTTCAAATACTTTCTCCTTATTTTATATCAGTAAGTAGTCAACAGTGAAATGTTATGTTCCCAGAGAGCACCTGGGTAGTGATGCAGGGGTTGGGGTTCTATTCCTAGTCCAGTCATACATTTTCTCCTTTCCTGTTACACATGATGGACTCAAAACAGAAAATAGTTCATAACCAAAGGATGAAGATTACAGATAACTTGAAGGAAAAATTGTATATGAATTGTATATGAAACATATATGGTCCCTAGGTGTAACAGTGAAAAGGGTCAGCTTCAATTTGGAGTATTTATAGTTATATAAGGACAACTAGGGATGATCTACTAGACAGAGGCAGCCATTGTACACAGTCTGATGTATGTATCAAGCAAAGGATCTTAACATTTGGAATTTTTTTTAACTTAAAATTATTTGACCTTGTGACTTTAAATAAATAGAGTCATCTATTCTGTTGGGGGTATCCCAAGAATATGGATAAAAGGGTTAGACACAATCAAAGGCCACTTGTTTGATGTTAGAAGGGGTGAATCTATGTAAACCTAGAGGTACTGTGAGCACTAAGCTCACAAAATATAACTCCACCCCCTCTCATGTGAGTAAAAGGCAGAGTACATTTCTTGGCACTATGTAAATGAGATTCTGTGAAAGCTCCATTGAATTTTATTCTGGGGTGTAGGAGGGGTTGCAGTAACAAATTGGATACACCTTTATCAAGTATAATGGCAAAATCGATTTTTTGTTATGGGAAACTCCAATTATTTGTCCGATCAAAACGTAAAATAGGAAGAGCACTTTGAAATAAAGATTCTGCGAGTCTCGTTCAATTTTATATATATATATATATATATATATATATATATATATATATATATATATATATATATATATATATATATATATATATATATATATATATTATTTTTTATAGTAGGAATTGCAAATAAAAGATGGGTTTCCCTAATATTATAGAAAGAAAGGCAAAGTAAATGTTTTGTGATGGGAAACCCCAAATATAAGTCCTATCGAAACGTAAGATGAAATGCACACTATGCCACTATGGAATAAAGATTTCGTGAAAGGTTCATGGTTTTAGAGAAGTTGCAGATACGGGATGGTTATCCCCAAGGATAATGTACACCCCTCTTAATATATACCCCAATTGCAATTTTCAAACAGGGGTATTATAAAATGCATTAACGTTATCAGTCCTTATTTACCAAAAGAAACAAGTTTAAAACCTTGACATTTTTTACTTTTCTGAAAATGTACCACATTTGCATATTAGTGTGTAATTAAAATGGAAGTAAAAATATTCATATTGGACTATGCAGTTGTAGAACGTAAAGACTTATTTCAAAACTCTATATTCCTATTATCAAGCTTCAGTAGTTTTCAGAAAATTCAAAATATTCGGTAATAAATGTAACTTTTAAGGTAATATGACTTATCAATCAACCTTTTCTAATTTAAAAAAAGGGAAAGAAAGACACTTCAAAGGATTATTCTGTGTGACATTGGGTAGAAATATTTTCAATAAGGAATAAAAATGATGCCTTTTTAATGCATTTTCATGGAATAATGCACTGCATTAACTTCTCCACGTTATATTTTTATTTAGTACTGATTTGTTCTTTTTCTGTAAGTAGTCTGTCATGTCCTTTTTATTGTTAGTCTTGGTAAATTGTTCTATATGTTTATAAGTCGTTACAGCGTCCCTCTTCCCTGGTATATTACTTTATAGAAAATGGACAAAATCATGAAAATTTCTCATATAATTATGCTCATCATGTATGTTGTTGATGCCTAATATTAAATTTTAATTACAAGTAATTTGACAAACTATTTAAACAATTTTGTAGAATTGCAACGTGGATTAGACATTGAATATCTTTATTGTTAAGCACTCTTTTTATTCAAGTTAATTTTCCATATTCA